ATTGTCCTCGATGGACAGCACTCGTCTTCATACCCTGTAACTTCATGTTTCCTCAAAGTTTTATCCTTTGCCCTATAATTTTTTTTAAATTTTTACTAATGATCTCCTAGAACTTCTCACATTTACATTGTGGCATTGTTCCCTGATAATACTAACATTTGTCCTATGTCTTGATAAGAAGCCATTACTCTCTGATTGCTTGGTGGGGACATTTGAGCTTCAAAAAGATCTCACTTCTGCAACAGCATTACTCTTAGTAGCTAAATAACTTTAATTCAGATAAAACTCATTTTCTTTCAGTTAATTGTTGTTGTAATAATCTAGATTTTCCTATATTTATGAGTGTTTATTAAGTCGATGAGTCATCTACCCTTTGAAAATAATAACTGAACAATAACTAATGAAAAAAACAACAACAAAAAAACAACTAATGACTGAACCAGTCTGAATTGTATCACCCTTTCTGAACTTTCTGAACTTATCTATCTATCTATCTATTAAACATTCCATTTTATTTGTTAGCAGTAATGACATCATAACTTTTCATTCATTGTTTGTACAAAATAGAAAACTGCTTTAAAATTTAAACTGAATGCGCTATTTAATTATTATCAATTGAATAATATTTTATATACTTGATTAAATTTTTAATAAACATATACTAGGCTCATGTTAATGTAATATATATATATATATATGTAATATATATAAAGTAATGACTTCATAACTTTTCATTCATTGTTTGTACAAAATAGAAAACTGCTTTAAAATTTAAACTGAATGCGCTATTTAATTATTATCAAGTGAGTTATATATTATATACTTGATTAAATTTTTAATAAACATATACTAGGCTCATGTTAATGTAATATATATATATATATATATATATATATATATATATATATATATATATATATATATATATATATATATATTAGTGTAAGTATATACATACTTATACTAATATAATATATAAATAACTATTAACATTAAAGCTTTCGTAAAGTAAAATCTGCTTTTTAGAAGTCTAGTTAACAAATTACTCTTAAAAGACGTATATTTAGTTTATATTTAATATATCGTATATTTTAAAAAATGCGTTGTGAAACTAGTGATGTAATATTTTTTCTTTTGTTGTTTGTCAGCACGCTTCCAAAATTTTTAGTTCAAAGTTATATAACAAATATACTTGCTAAACGTATTGTTTATTAAAACTTTTTTTTTAAGTTGCGTTTAGCTTTAACTTTTTAATAAATAGACTTTAATATAAGCTTAGGTGATTCGAAGATACCAGTAAAAATATTTGGTTTATTAACTTATTTTTGACAAAAAAATTTCGATATTTCATGGTTTTGATGTTTTTAAATTTGAAATAATAGTCATTAATTAATAGAAAGTGATCAAACCTGTAAGAAATTGAAGCTTCAAGTTAAGTTTTAGTTTCATAAACCTTTTACGCTAGATATTTATTTATAAGATATTTATAAATATTATGCTAGATACTTATAAATATTAAGGGAGATACCTAATTTTTTAACATTTAAGTTTGGAGTTTTTATTTAAGTGTTGCAAGTTTTGATATTTTATTACATGGACTTTTATGCAATTCAAAGTAAAAGTTCTAATCAAGCGAAGTTTTTTGTCAAAACAACCCTAAAAAACAATACGAGTGAGCAAATGGTTTGACTTAACCAGGGTACTGTTAAGCAGATAATTTAGTAAAGTTCAAGTAGAATTAAAAAACACGCTGAAAAAAAAACACGCTGAAAAAAAACACGCTGAATTTTGCTTTTAAATAGAAGAAATAAAACATTTTTTCTTTATTTAACATTATGCAAACTCTACTGTTTCAACATATTTTGACTTTAGCACAAAAATTTTACTTAAAATATTTTCTATAAAATCAACTTATAATTTTCAATAATATTCAGCAAAAGTATGTTTGATAAAAATATTTTCTATAAAATCAACTTATAATTTTCTCCCTCGCAAGTTGTTCAGGCAAGTGCGATTTTTTACTTTGGCAGCAAAATTACCGAGCGCTATTTGTCGCATCCGGAAAGTCATTTATGGGCGTGTTTCACGTGCGCTGAGCGATTGCTCCCGCTTCATTATAAGGCCTGCAGTTGTTTCCATCCTCCCTGACACATTTGATGTCTTTGCAATCCAAATTTAACCCACCATTTTCCCTTAGGACAACCCATATTTTCCTTGCAAGGCTTGAATTTATAGCTTTTGTATGATTGCAGATATAAGTAGTACCTGGCCAAAAATAGTTATAATATGTTAAGAGTTTAAATTTAATTTTGAGTTTCACAAATTTAATTTAAAGAGAAGTAGTTGAGTTTTCAAATTTAATATTAAAAAGTATTAACGTGTTTGAAATATGCAGATGAAAAGGCTACAATTTATTGTAAATGGTTAATTTTATTCAAAAAAAGTGCAAATAAACAATTTTTTATAACAAAAAATTAAAAAAAAATACCTTGCTTTTCTAAAAAATTATAAAAAAGTAAAAACACAGGCTACGATAAAAAAGAAATACCATTTTATTATTTTCCAGGCAATAGTTTTAAAAAATATTTTTAAAATTCATTACAACAAAATTTTTTTTACCTAATATTTTTTAATTAAAAAAATAAAATTTAGATTTTAAATTGATTATATTCATTTTAAATCAAGATTTTAACACTTTCAATTTTATAAGTATTTGGTAAATGTGATTTTTATACTGTCAATTTTATAAGTATTTGTATGATTTTTAATAAGTATGATTTTTATAAGTATGATTTTTACACTGTTGATTTTATAAGTATCAGGTAAATCAAGATTTTTATACTGTGGAATTTATGAGTATTAGGTAAATCAAAATTTTTATATTAAAAAGTATTAGAACCTTAAACTTTTTCTGATTTAATAAGCTCTCTATCTGGTAGTTCATTAATGAGGTGTTTTAGGAGGTAATTTTGTCGATTTTTATTAGTATTAGGTAAGTATGATTTTTATACTGTCAATTTTATAAGTAAGGGAAAGTGTGTATGAAAGAGCCAGGTTTTGAAAGAGCCGATGCCATTATATCTAACTTACTGGCACCCAACCATAATTATATTTTACTTTTTATGTGGCAAAGCTGGATACCTGTCACCCACAAAAAAATTTAGAGTTTTGTATTATTTGATAAAACATGCTGCATTGTTATATATATATATACATATATATATATATGTGTGTCCTTCTTTTCCACATATATTATTAGATTAAAAATTTGGTAAAAAAATGTTTAATTTGAGGTTATTTTTTTCACCATACAATTTTTTGAAAGAGCCACTTTTTATGTTATGAAAAAGCCGGCCTTTTCTATTTAGCTTTTTTTTTAAAACTAAAAAACTTTTTTGCTTTTTAATGACTTCATTGTTTTTTGTTATGCTTCATTCATCATATTCTATTGAAATTAATTGTTTGAATGACTTTTCCTGAAGTTGTAAAACGTAGGTGCATTTGAATTTTAAAAAATATATTCAAATACTAATTAAGTTTTTGATAAAGCTTAATTATTATTTTTTTAATAATTGAAATTATTTTTGTTTTAAACTTCGTAATATTTTGTCAAAACTTATTTTGTATTATTGTATTCACTCATATCACTAGCATAGTTAATATATGTGAAATGCCTGAAATCACTATTATTTGTGAATCATAGATAACATTTATCATCAAGATGTATAGTCAAAACGATTTATTATTTTGACTTGTGTATATTATTTTTTTTATATTGATATTTTTGTTTTTTTTCATTTTCATTTAATATTTTTTATCTTTAAAAAGTAAAACATGTCTTCACAAGTATTTACTACGAAAAGCGACATTGACGATAAATGTTATCTATAATTCACAAATCATAGTGATTATATTAGGATATTTTTTTAATAATAAAGTCAAACTATTATTGAAGCTGTTTTATCATTTGTTTTATCATTGATTAACATAGAATTATATAACTTAAAGTCGCTTTGATTTTTTGAAGTCTAGTTAACAGATTATTACTCTTAAAAAACTTGTTAGTTTTAGAAAAAAATGTTACAGCTCATTCATAGCACAAAATGGCTCTTTCATTGACATTGTGTTATGAAAGAGCTGATTTCTCTTTTTAAAGTAGGTGTACGACAGATTATTAGTATTGTTATCCAATTTATTTTATATTTATAATATTACCCAACAAAGTAACTATTTAAATAATTTTTTTTTTTTAAATGAATGAAAATTGACTTTTTTTCATACCTTTTTAAAACTGGCTGTTTCATACTCTCTCCCCTATCAGTAAATCAAAAATTTCACAAGTATCAGGTAAATATTGTTTTTACACTGTCGATTTTTTAATTATTAGATAAATATGATTTTTACACTGTCGAATTTATTATATATTATTATAATAGTATTAGGTAAATATTTGGTTATGGATTTTATTTTACAGAATAATATAATAACAAAAATAATAATATTAAAAAAAGTCAACAATATAACAATATAGAGCTTATTTTATAGAGCTTCTTTAAAATGATTATATATTTATTATGAATTATATAATATATATTTAAATTTATATTTATATATTCATAGCTATGCAAATATTTCAGTATTTTGGAGGTTGTATTTTGTATTTTGGAGGTTAGCTTTTCTTAAAGCAAAGCAAAGTATTGTTTAGCAAGGTTTTATTGCTTAATAAGTAATTTTACACGTTTTTCTGCTATAGTTAGGTAGTATGGGTATATAATATTATAATATAATTAGGTAGATATATGATAACAAATATTTATAAATATTTTATCAAAAACACATTTAGAAAATTATATAAACCTTTGGGAAACTCCTAAGCCCTCTGGTTATTTCCAGAGACTGTTTCACTATAAAATTACAGTTTTTTTCTGTAACTTTATATAAATTAACCTCAAAAGTTTAAAAATTATATAAAATACATTCTAAAAACTATTTTTACAAAGGATCTTATCAAAAAGAAGAAAAAGAAGAAAAAACAGTATATGGAAGATGATGATTGGATTAAAGCTGGTATTGGAAAAAGTTATGAAAAAACACAGAGTGTAGAATCAAACAAGAAAGATTTTGTAAGAGTATTACTTAATGAAATTTGAATAATTAGGCATAATAGATATTGAGAATTTTAATTTAATTTGGTTTAGAAATATTTCATTAAAGATTTTGAAATTTTCATTATTTGTTTATTATAGTTTTATTTTATAGTAATTTCAAATTTGTTTAACAATTTTTTAAATAATATATTAATTTAACAAACATACATTTTTTGTTTATTAACATAATAATTCAAAAAGTTATAAAACAAAGTTTTAAAGCAAAATATTTAAAATAAATTTTGTAGAAATATTTTTTTTAATTTTAGTTTTTTTTTTTTTTGAGCTATTTGTTTGAGGTTTACAGATTTTCCCATTGTTTTTAGCAAAATCATATATCAGATAGATCTTTATATTTCATCAAGTATTTTGTCTGCAATTATTATTTTCAATTATATGAACATTCAAATCTATTGCATTTTTATGCATTTTTTTAAAAGTTTTTTAAAGTATACCAAGAATTCAACTAGAGGCAGACAAAGAAGGTTTATTGAGAGCATTATTTAAATTAATTTTTAAAAAATATGTGGGAGTCTGGTATGCACCATATAAAAAAATTGCATTTCATAATAAAAATCATTTTTGAATCATTTTAATTTTTAAAACAAATAAGTCGGATCACCAGAAAACTAAGGATTAAAATTGTCCAAAAAGTCCAAAATTAAATGCCCAATAAGAAGTCAATTCAAAAAGAATATGAGATATGATGTTCTCACATCGAATAAAAATATAGTGTAGTAAATTTTTTGAGCACATAAAACTGCATTAAATAAACACACTTTTTTTTGCTCCAATATATATCCTTCCTACACAGTTATTTTCCAAACTCTCAGTTAGTGCACTAAAGTCTATAATAATTTCTCACTCAGATCCAAACTTTCAGTAAATGTATATGCTAAAGTTTGACAATTTCTTACACTTATCCAAACCCTCAGTAAATGTAATACTGAAGTCTATGACAATTTCTTACACATTTAAACTTTCTCTTTAAAAATCAGTAATGCCTATGGCTATTTCAGTATGATATCATTAGATTATTTTATGCACAGTAATTACATATTTTTGAAAATTTTACATGTTCACTTAGATGTCTTATTGAAATAGTTGGAAGCTTTACTACATAAATTGATGAGGCATATTTATCAAATTATTATCACTATTATTTGTTTCTAACAGAAATTTATGAATTTCATTATACTCATTTTGAAAAATGAAGTTTTCATAATATAGTAGCATCATGTAAACCATGTATGATCAGATGTTTGTAGTATACAGAGAAATTATTACTTTAATAGAGTAAGAAGAGAGTATAGAGATTTTGATATTATACTATTTTTTTTTACACAAACAATTTATGTTTTATTAAATAAGTTTATAGACAAGTTTTGTTTAATATATTCCACTTTATTAAAATTATGCCAATTTAACACAATAATGACACCTTTCTCATGACAAGTAAAATGCTGTTGTGATATCAATATTTGTGGGATTAATTTGACAAATTGTTATTAATAATTTTTAGTGTTTAATTATTTTTATATATTTTTGTTAGAATCAAGTTATTTGTATTATATATGATAAAGGTTATACATCTTTTTTATCATTTAGCAAAGTAGTCTTATTCTGTTAAATGCTGATATAAATAGCAAAAAGAAAAAAAAGAAGCAAGAAAAGAATGGCAGAGACAATGTTGAACACGATTTTCTTAATTTGAAAAACCAATTTCATGAAAAAGGTGAATAAATATAGAAAGAAAATGGTATTAATGAAATGTTATATACTACCAAATAATTTTTGATATTTTTGAATGAAACTACATATCGTATATTTAAACTATTTAATATTTTTACTTATTTTGCCTATTTTTTAAACTGGTGGACATGTTGCATAATTATTTTATAAACTGGTGGACATATTGCATAATTATTTTTTAAACTTGTGGACATGTTGCATAATTATTTTTTAAACTGGTGGACATGTTGCATAATTATTTTATAAACTGGTGGACATGTTGCATAATTATTTTTTAAACTGATGGACATATTGCATAATTATTTTTTAAACTTGTGGACATGTTGCATAATTATTTTTTAAACTGGTGGACATGTTGCAAAATTATTTTTTAAACTGGTAGACATGTTGCATAATTTTAAAAAACATGATTAAAGAGTTTAATATATAATTAAATAAAAACTTCTATTACGGATGTAACTCTATTTTTTGAATTAATTTTCATACAATATTTCAAGGGAGTATAGATACCTGTGTTGTCAAGTGTAAAATATACAATATTTCAAGGGAGTATAGATACCTGTGTTGTCAAGTGTAAAATATAAGTATAATAGTTATACTTTATAATGAGGGTTGTTCTATGCTCCCTTGATATAATGAGGGTTGTTCTATGCTCCCTTGATATAATGAGGGTTGTTCTATGCTCCCTTGATATATTCTATAAAAATTAATTCAAAAGATAAAGAGTCTGGTGGATATGTTGCATATTTTTTTGTGAGAAAGTTAGAAGGGTATTTTCCAATAATTTAAGTTTTTAATTTTAAGTTTGTGCTTTTAGTTAAAATTAGTTTTTTTAGTTATATGTTTTCTAATTTTTTTTCTTATTTCAATAATTTTAGGTAGAATTTTTCATGGTTTTAAATTAAATAAATCAATTTTTCTTTCATTTATCATTAAATTATGAAAAATTAATATTATATATTATATTAGTAAGTAATATTATAAGTATATAAATATTTTTCTTCTCATTAATTTAAAATTTCATAGAAAAAATTTGTATTTATATTAAAGAAAAAACCCTGATATTTTTACCCTGTTTTCATAAAAAACCTGTTATGTTTACCTTGTTTTCATAAAAAATATGTTATGTTTACCTTGTTTTCAAAAAAACCTGTTATGTTTACCTTGTTTTCAGAGAAAATTTTAATTATACATAAAAGACATTGATTACGTTCACACATTGACTTCAGATTGTAAAATCAGATATTGTTTTTATTTACTACATTTGGTCAATATTTTATCAGAACAATGCATGACTGAACAGCCAGGTTTTCTCCATATTTTAATAAAATGAAAGAATTAAAATAAACTGCAACTTCTGGCCAATAAACTGGAAAAAACGTATCAAATTTAATTGCTAAAGTAAATAAAATAAAAGTAATAAATAATACCTTTATTATAAACATTATGCTTAAGCTCAGTAAATAAAAAGCAGTAATCAACACTTATGAGTTATGAGTTAGTTATAAGTTTTTCTTTATAGAGGAAGGAAGAGTTATCTTTTTTTCTATTCCTACCTATGATTTGTATTGCACTTATAAATTTTTCTGATTTTTTTAAACAAAAATCTAAAGAAGCTGATGAATTGTAAGAGCGAATCAGCTTCTTTGAATTGTAACAGCGAATCAGCTTCTTTGAATTGTAACAGCGGTTCTTGTAAAAGAACATTGTAATTTATTCATTTGTTTTTTGGTCATTGTGCTTGATTTTGAATATTATTTTGTAACAGTTTCATGGAAAAACAACAATATTTGCAGCACTTACTGTTATTATCAAACTTTAACAGTAATATTAAGGGATTTAATTAACATTTCCAATATCACTACCTAACATTGATCTGTAATATAATCTTTAGTTTCTAAAAGGCACTCATCTGTTACATCTGCACATCATTAACACCTTTTTGATTTTTTTTTTGTTCTGCTGGTCTAACGTGGAAGTAGAAAACTATTTTAATTTATTTGTAATTGTTGAAGGTCTGTTTTTTTGAATGTTGAAGGTCTGTTATTGAATGTTGAAGATCTGTTTAGAATGTTTCAGGTCTGTTATTGAATGTTGAAGTTCTGTTATTAAATGTTTCAGGTCTGTTATTGAACGTTGAAGATCTGTTATTAAATGTTAAAGGTCGGTTATTGAATGTTGAAGATCTGTTATTGAATGTTGATAGTTTCTTATTGAATGCTGAATGTTATGTTATTTTCTAAAGTTTTGATTTAAAGCCAAACTTTTTTAGTATTAGAAGAGGTTGCAGTTTTTTAGTTAAAGTTATGTATTAATAAGTGAATACACCTAATCATTTAGCAAAAATGAAATCAAATACTAAAATCTATGTATGGTATCTTGTGTGGTAGTATGGTTAGGTAGATACTGGTGTGTTTTCTTGAATGTTGTTTTTGATACAGAGTATTACAAAAGATAAAGAATGACCCCTTTTTTTATAGCAGAATGTAACGATTGATTTTTCACTATCATTAAGACTAACTAGTGTTCTAAAATCTTAAGCATTTGTGTAATTCCAGTATTTTTTTCATGTTTTGTACTTTTTTAAATTATATACTTTTATGTTGTTTTTATTTTACTTTCTTTTTCAATAAATTTGACCTTAATCAAATCATTTATCTTTGTAACGCCCTTAGCAACTATAAGTTCAACGTTGTAATAGTACATAATGGTCCAAAATTTAAAGTCTAAAAACGTTATTCATCAAACTAAAAACCTATTATTTAACCAAACCTTAAAAAAAGTTAAATTTGTTGTAGTTTGACATTAAAAAAATGAGAACTCCTCAAGGCCGAGAAGGCCACTACAGACAAGGAGGCTACTTATTTGTGGTTACAACCCTCTCTCAACTCTATAACTCCGAAACATGAACCTTGACAAACAAGGCCGCTGCGCGGAGAAACGAGTTGAGTGCGGTACTACCAAGGATATATATATATATATATATATATATATATGTATATATATATATATATATATATATATATATATATATATATATATATATATATATACACACATATATATAAATATATATACATATATATTTATATATATTTACA